CCTGGGAGAGGGTAGGGGCACCTGGGAGAGGGTAGGGGGGACCTGGGAGAGGGTAGGGGCACCTGGGAGATGGTAGGGGGGACCTGGGAGAGGATAGGGGCACCTGGGAGAGGGTAGGGGGACCTGGGAGAGGGTAGGGCACCTGGGAGAGGGTAGGGGGACCTGGGAGAGGGTAGGGGCACCTGGGAGAGGGTAGGGGGGACCTGGGAGAGAGGGCACCTGGGAGATGGTAGGGGGACCTGGGAGAGGGTAGGGGGCACCTGGGAGAGGGTAGGGGGCACCTGGGAGAGGGTAGGGGGGACCTGGGAGAGGGGCACCTAGGGTAGGGGCACCTGGGAGAGGGTAGGGGGCACCTGGGAGAGGGTAGGGGGGACCTGGGAGAGGGTAGGGGGCACCTGGGAGAGGGTAGGGGGCACCTGGAAGAGGGTAATGGGGTAATTCGATGGGGTAACTACAAGTCCTTGGCAAGGAGGGGAAGGAACAGTTGGAGGAGAATATTGGAGGATCAAAGGAGGAGGCAACATCTCACCCCCTCCCCTCCCCAGGCTTGAAGGGTGTGATGGACATTGGAGAAAGGTGTCTAAAGGACCTAAGGAGGGGGGGGGGTTGTGCACACCTGGAGAAAGGTGTGGGGGGTGAGCCCTGGTAGCAGCCTAGGAGGGTCCATGACTGAAGTAGCATACACAGGCCCAATAAAAATCCTTCAAGACAACGAATCAAAATCTTTAATTACTTAGCAATATTTAATGAGGAAATTGAAAACATAATACTATTTGAGACTTATTTTATTGCGAATATTTCATTGAATACACAATAAAATAATATGAACGTAATATATTTTTTTTAGGATATCTCTGGAACAAGATGGCAGAATCGAGCAGCATCCCAATACATCAGACAGTGATGATTAAGGATGCTGGCTTCATCCCATCCTCATGCTCCAAACATCTTCCAAATAAATTTAATATAAATGAAGGCACCACATTGTGTTATCTTGGACGGTGAGTGGACAGTTATCACCGGATAGTTATCATAACCTCCCCACCACCACCTGGGTCTGGTCGACGACCATAATGGCCTCACAATATTTAGAAGTGAAGAGTTATCGTACGGCACAAATATTTGCTGCCGGGGATATGTAATCATCGGCCATGTTTACTGCCGGATAATTAGCTTAATGGAATTTAAAAGTTACAAGTTGAGTATATCAGGTAACCTTGCCCTGTGGGATTGGTACCGGGAGGGATGGTACTGGGAGGGTTGGTACTGGGAAGGTTGGTACTGGGAGAGTTGGTACTGGAAGGGTTGGTACTGGGAGGGTTGGTACTGGGAGGGTTGGTACTGGGAGGGTTGGTACCGGGAAAGTAGGTAATGGGAAGGTTGGTACTGGGAGGGTTGGTACCGGGAAGGTAGGTAATGGGAAGGTTGGTACTGGGAGGGTTGGTATTGGGAGGGTTGATACTAGGAGGGTTGGTACTGGGAGGATTGGTACTGGGAGGGTTGGTACTGGGAAGGTTAGCACTGGGAGGGTTGATACTAGGAGGGTTGGTACTGGGAGGGTTGGTACTGGGAGGGTTGGTACTGGGAGGGTTGGTATTGGGAGGGTTGATACTAGGAGGGTGGGTACTGGGAGGGTTGGTACTGGGAGGGTTGATATTGGGAGGGTTGATACTGGGAGGGTTGGTACTGGGAGGGTTGGTACTGGGAGGGTTGGTACTGGGAGGGTTGGTACTGGGAGGGTTGGGAGTGGGAGGGTTGGTACTGGGAGGGTTGGTACTGGAAGGAATGGTACTTGGAGGGTTGGTACTGGGAGGGTTGGTATTGGGAGGATTGGTACTTGGAGGATTGGTACTAGTAGGGTTGGTACTGGGAGGGTTGGTACTGGGAGGGGTGATACAGGGAGGGTTGGTACTGGAAGGGTTGGTACTGGGAGGGTTGGTACTGGGAGGGTTGGTACTGGAAGGGTTGGTACTAGTAAGTTTGGTACTGGGAGGGTTGAGACTGGGAGGGTTGGTACTGGAAGGGTTGGTACTGGGAGGGTTGGTACCGGGAAGGTAGGTAATGGGAAGGTTGGTACTGGGAGGGTTGGTACAGGAAGGGTTGGTACTGGAACGGTTGGTACTGGGAGTGTTGGTACTGGGAGGGTTGGTACTGTGAGGGTTGGTACTGGGTGGGTTGGAACTGTGAGGGTTGGTACTGGGAGGGTTGATACTGGGGGATATTGGTACTGTGAGGGTTGGTACTGTGAGGGTTGGTACTGGGAGGGTTGGGACTGGGAGGGTTGGAACTGTGAGGGTTGGTACTGGGATGGTTGGTACTGGGAGGGCTAGTACTGGGAAGGTTGTCACTGTGAGGGTTGTTACTGAAAGGGTTGATATTGGGAGGGTTGGTATTGGGATGGTTGGTATTGGGAGGGTTGACATTAGGAGGGTTGGTACTGGGAGGGTTGGTACTGGGAGGGTTAATACTGGGAAGGTTAGCACTGTGAAGGTTGGTACTGGGAGGGTTGGTACTGGGAGGGTTGGTATTGGGAGGGTTGATACTAGGAGAGTTGGTACTTGGAGGGTTGGTACTGGGACATTTGGTACTGGGATGGTTAGCACTGGGAGGGTTGGTACTGGGAGAGTTGGTACTGGAAGGAATGGTACTTGGAGGGTTGGTACTAGTAGGGTTGGTACTGGGAGGGTGTGTACTGGAAGGAATGGTACTTGGAGGGTTGGTACTAGTAGGGTTGGTACTGGGAGGGTTGGTACTGGGAGGGTTGGTACTGGGAGGGTTGGTACTGGGAGGGTTGGTACTGGGAGGGTTGGTACTGGAAGGGTTGATACTGGGAGGGTTGGTACCGGGAAGGTAGATAATGGGAAGGTTGGTACTGGGAGGGTTGGTACAGGGAGGGTTGGTACTGGAAGGGTTGGTACTGGGAGGGTTGGGACTGGGAGGGTTGGGACTGGGAGGGTTGGTACTGGGAGGGTTGGTACTAGTAAGTTTGGTACTGGGAGGGTTGTGACTGGGAGGGTTGGTACTGGAAGGGTTGGTACTTGGAGGGTTGGTACCGGAAAGGTAGGTAATGGGAAGGTTGGTACTGGGAGGGTTGGTACAGGGATGGTTGGTACTGGGAAGGTTGGAACTGTGAGGGTTGGTACTGTGAGGGTTGGTACTGTGAGGGTTGGTACTGGGAGGGTTGGTACTGGGAGGATTGGTACTGTGAGGGTTGGTACTGTGAGGGTTGGTACTGGGAGGGTTGGGACTGGGAGGGTTGGAACTGTGAGGGTTGGTACTGGGAGGGTTGGTACTGGGAGGGTTGGTACTGGGAAGGTTGGTACTGGGAAGGTTGTCACTGTGAGGGTTGTTACTGGAAGGGTTGGTACTGGGAGGGTTTGTACTGGGATGGTTGGTATTGGGAGGTTGACATTAGGAGGGTTTGTACTGGGAGGGTTGGTACTGGGAGGGTTGGTACTGGGAAGGTTAGCACTGTGAGGGCTGGTACTGGGAGGGTTGGTACTGGGAGGGTTGGTACTGGGAGGGTTGGTACTGGGAGGGTTGGTATTGGGAGGGTTGATACTAGGAGGGTTGGTACTGGGAGGGTTGGTACTGGGAGGGTTAGTACTAGGAGAGTTGGTACTGGGAGGGTTGGTACTGGGAGGGTTGGTACTGGGAGGGTTGGTACTAGGAGGGTTGGTACTGGGAGGGTTGGTACTGGGAGGGTTGGTACTGGGAGGGTTGGTACTAGGAGGGTTGGTACTGGGAGGGTTGGTACTGGGAGGGTTGGTACTGGGAGGGTTGGTATTGGGAGGGTTGGTACTGGGAGTGTTGGGAATTTGAGGGTTGGTACTGGGAAGGATAACACTGGAAGGGTTGGGACTGGGAGGATTGGTACTGTGAGGGTTAGCACTGTGATGGTTGGTACTGGGAGGGTTGGTACTAGGAGGGTTGGTACTGGGAGGGCTGGTACTAGTAGGGTTGGTACTGGGAGGGTTGGCACTAGAAATAATATCAGTATACTCGACACTGAAGAAGTTAGTGCTGGGAGGGTAATAGTTGACACAGTGAACACTGACAATAAGTGTCATTAATATGTAGAGGTAGTGTAGAGGAGGCGTAGCACTGCTGATCGTGTTATTATAGTCGGCGTTGGGAAGCTGACGAAGTCAGTATAGCTGGCACTGTTGACATGCTCAGTATTACGTGACCTGGCACTGGGAAAAGGGCCAAGATATTTGGAACTATGGATTATACTTGCTTCTGTAGAATTGACATCCAGGAAGTGACAATTACCAGGATTGTTGTCCCCACCGGGTGGGATTGTAATATCGAGGTGGACGCTGTTTGTAGGGATGACTCAGTAGAAGTAGAAGTGTTGGGAGGTTTGGCACTATATAGCAGGTACCAGTGCCAGGAACGCTGGTACGGTTGAGGCGCCCAGTGACACGGGGAGTTGACACAATGGCTTGGCAATTATCACTGTCCGGAGGCAACCCGTTCTCGCAAATTCGTAAAGTCAATATTGACTTATTAACTACGTGCATAGGTGATATACTAAACATAATAGATACCCTTAAAAAGATTCATAGAAAACACCGACCTTACCTAACCTTGTTAGTATCTTAAGATAAGCATCTTATTGCTTCGTAATTACAATTATTACTTAACCTATACCTATTATAGGTTAGGTAATAATTGTAATTACGAAGCTATAAGATGCTTATCTTAAGATACTAACAAGGTTAGGTAAGGTCGGTGTTTTCTATGAATCTTTTTAAGGGTATCTATTATGTTAAGTATGTCACCTATGCACATATTTAATAAGTCAATATTGACTTATTAAATTTGCGAGAACGGGTTGCCGGAGGATTGGTTTATTCAGCTTAGGAACTAAATATGACTGATTGTTTAGAAGGCGTCTGCGCCAGAGACCTCAGGCACGGGGTACATGTTGAAGTGTTCACAGTGCTCTCCGTCACAAACTTTAATATTAATTAATTTTAAGGTGTAATCCATCTCAGTTTTCGAATCAAGCACGGAAAAATTCTTTGTAATTACGACGCAATATTTGTACATATTAAATCGCACCTGAAGTAAACTAAAATATATATATTAAGACAAAGCCACACTATTGTCCCTCTGGCAACAGTGCTGATAGTTCCCAGAGGATGAAAGAAGGAGAACCCATATCTATATAAATAAAAATTGAAATGTTCGTTGGTTCAAAATCGATTATCTCCGAAAGTTCTTAACCGATTGCTATGAAATTTTCACACAACGTTTCCTTCGCATCCGAGCGGGTGTTTATATACATACTATTTAGATGTCACGTCTGTGACGGGAAAACATGCTTTTTTCGAAAAACTTTTTTTTTTCATTGGATTTTCATGTGAGGGAGATCTTTGAAACCTCTTTACCAATTGCTTTGAAATATGAGACACACCATTGCATTTGAATTGGCGCGCGTTTCTATATACCTACTATATATATACATGACTCACCTGTGACAAGAAAAAACATGTTTTTTTTTAAACAGCGCTATCTGTGGGACGTAAGAGCAACATACACTGTAATCTCTAAAAGATCTTCACCAATTGCTTTGAGTTTTGATGCAACATTCCATTCGAGCACATGCGTGTTTTTATATACCATTTATATAGATGCCACACCTGTGACTAGTAAAAACATGTTTTTTTGTTAAAAACAGCGCCGTCTGTTACACATAATAGCAACATACTCTATACTAAATATATTATGATTCCAATACAATGTATCGGATTGCATTGATAAATTTAATTTTCATAGATTTTTGTTTATTGATATTTTGATATAATTATTTTGTGTGACATTGCGTTAGAATTGAGCTGTGTTGTTTACCATACCTTTCATTTCGTGAGTATAGTTTATTTATTTTATTTTATCACTGTCATTTCGTTTTTTTAACTGTTTATCATATATTTCAGTGATGGGAACATCAGATTATTTAATGTTCCCTATTTTCTGATGGGAACATCAGATCATTTGGGAATGCATCGGACAAAGGAGTGAGGAATGGTGGGGAGGACACAGGGACAGAGGAGTGGGGGATGGTGGGGAGGACGATGGGGGCAGGAGAGGGGGAAAATGGTAGGCAGGTCGCAGGGACGTGGAAGTGGGAGATGGTTGGGGGCCTTGGCGTGCGCACAGCAACACAAATACCTGAACCAGCATTCCTGTCCTCTTCAGTGGCGTCTGACAACTTTGTGAAGGAAATCCTACCTGAGCACCTAGTTCAACGGGCAGGGGTACATGATCCCAGCTTCACAGACTACACAACCAAATGGGTCTCTCTCGCAGGACCAGCACCCCAACCACCGCCTTCTGAAGCCCATAAGTAATCCAGCTGGGGACCTCCCCATTGCAAACCAGAAAGCTGCGACAACACCACACGACACTGCCCGACTTAAAGCTGTAGCAGCTCCCTATGCAGGTGACTTCCTATTAGCAACCCCAATGTCAGTAACCGGCACTCGTCTCACACCGCAGTCCCTCCGAATTGTTGTGGCTTTCTGCCTCGCTGCCACAATCCACACCCAATACAGGTGTATTTGCGGCAAGGCAGAGGCCGACAGGTATAGACGGCATGGCCTTCTCTGCCAAAGGACAAGAGGATGAAAAGCAAGACACGGCGAGGTTAACGACATTATCAAGAGAAGTCTTACCACGGCCGGATGTCCAACAGAGAGAGAGCCCCGTTACCTAATGTCCCGCAGTTCTGATGAGCATGTCGGTAGCCCAGACGGGATCACGATGAACCCCTGGAAGAATGGTAGACAGTTGGTGTGTGACTACACTTACGTTAACCCTTAGCCAACACTTACGTTGCCTTCAGTGCTACTCAAGCAGGAGGTGCTGCCTATCACCGGGAAGCAGCCAAGTCACGTAAATACAGAGACCTTGATTCCAACTTCAGTTTTGTCCCCATTGCCTCAGAGACACTTGGTGCCAGGGGTAAATGTGCTGCTAGTTTTATTGAAGGAGTTGGGGTCCAAGGTAACTGAAAAAAACTAGAGATCCTAGAGCCGCCAGTTTTCTCTTTCAGTGCCTTAGTGTGGCGATCCAGAGAAGAAATGCTCACTGCAGCCATGGTTCCTGCCCACCATCTGAAAAGCTGGAGAAGCTCTACAACTCTCTTTGTGTAATGAAATGATAAAATACACTCTGTCCGCTATCATTTGCTGTTAATGGATGATGGATTATAGCGGACAGAGTGTATTGTGATCTGGCTTGTACTCATCTTGAAATACCAGAAAACATACTTAGGAAACTACTCCAAGCCTGCACTAAAGAGGCACCCTTCGTGAGCCCAGATGGGCACATGTATAAGCAAGTAGATGGGGTCGCCATGGGTTCTTCCCTAGGTGTCCTGTTTGAGAACTTCTACATGGGCACCATCGAGCAAAGGGTCTTAGTTGACATGGTCTTCAAACCTGCCGTATACTGCAGGTATGTTGACGACCTTTTTACACAGGTACCTGATGTCAGACGTCTGCAGGAGCTGAAGGAGGCATATGAGCGGAATTCAGTGTTGAGTTTCACTTACGAGATGGGGAAGGATGGGAAGCTGCCCTTTCTAGATGTAACAGACATGGAAAGGAGCAGCAGCTTCCACACTGCAGTTTACACTAAAGAAACAAACATAGGAATGTGCCTCAATGCTAATAGTGACTGCTCAGACAGGTACAAGAGGAGTGTTGTCAACGCTTACGTCGACCGTGCTCTCAGTCACAGCTCATGATAGAAGCAAGTCGATGAAGAACTCTGTAGGGTAAGGCAGGTCCTAGTCAACAACGGCTTCTCTAATGGTTTTGTTGAAGACATCATAAAAAGGAAGGCGAAATGCCATGCAACCTCTGAAGAGTCAACTTACACAACACATGTACCCGTTATTAAACTCTTTTTACCAGCTCATAAAACGGAGGAAAGGGTCCTGAAAGATAGTGTTGATAGGAACGTTATCCTTAAAGACAAAAATCAGAAAATACAATCGACGATTTACTATAAAACCAAAAAAAACGGCCAACCTACTCATGAAAAACTCTCCAGACACCAAGCAGAACGCCGTAAAGGAAACCAACGTCGTCTATGCCTTCAAATGCCCACTTAGGGACTGTAAGCCCCAGAGAACTCAGTATATAGGAAAGACAACAACGTCTCTTTCCAAGCGATAAACAATGCATAAGCAACAGGGCTCCATCAAGGAACATATAATCTCTTCTCACAACCAGACCACCACCAGAGAAATCTTCACAAACAACACAGAAATCATCGATAGATACAGCGATAGATAGCAGGCGGCTCAACATCTGCGAGGCATTACACATCAAAACGTCAACACCAGCAATCAACAGCCAAATAATGGACAACTATATTCTACACACTTCAAAACTCCAAACCAATATATAAGCATCAGGAGTAGGTATGGGCCAATAGTCCCTCGGCAGTTACTTCCATTCTTATGCTCTCATATCCAATTTATACCCATTGTTTCGTGTTTTGTCTAGTTTTTGTCACAAGTTTGTTCACTTTACCCAAAACTGTTGTACCATATCACCTCACCCAAATTCGAGTATAACTATGGACGTATTTTGCATGCTTACAGGTTACAATTGTGTGTGTAAACTAAAGAATTTGAAAATGTAGTAAGTTATTATGAAACGCGTTCGGGCATCAATTCAGACTAGAAATAAAAATGAATTTTGGAGAATTGATTTTTCAATTACCATCGACAGTGAAAAAAAAACATAAGAAATAGAGAAAATTCGTGTTAGAATTAATAATCACACTTTTTTGGTCATATTTTACAACATATGTTTACAAGAAAGACTGCTACCAAAATATACTAATATATATATATATATATATATATACTAATATATATATATATATATATATATATATATAGAGGCTGGTATGCAAAAACTATATATATATATTTATATATATAAAACTTTTTACCTGTCACATATATTAAAGCTAATTTAAAAATCCATTACACTACAAGATGAATTTTATAACTACTAAAACAAACCATTCTATTAAACTTACGTGAAGTGATCAGAAGTGTAACTTGATACCTAACACATAGATACTAAACACTATAACAAATATTTATATAATGACTACAAATCTACAAAAAATGTAAGCGCACTTAAAGTGATCAATACAAATAAAATTTATTAACTGTCACATATATTAAAGCTAATTTAAAAATCCATTAAACTACAAGATGAATTTTATAACTACTAAAACAAACCATTCTATTAAACTTACGTGAAGTGATCAGAAGTGAAACTTGATACCTAACACATAGATACTAAACACTATAACAAATATTTATATAATGACTACAAATCTACAAAAAATGTAAGCGCACTTAAAGTGATCAATACAAATAAAACTTATTAACTGTCACATAGTTTAATGGATTTTTAAATTAGCTTTAATATAAAAGATGAATTTTATAACTACTAAAACAAACCATTCTATTAAACTTATGTGAAGTGATCAGAAGTGAAACTTGATACCTAACACATAGATACTAAACACTATAACAAATATTTATATAATGACTACAATTCTACAAAAAAATGTAAGCGCACTTAAAGTGATCAATACAAATAAAACTTTTTAACTGTCACATATATTAAACTAATTTAAAAATCCATTAAACTACAAGATGAATTTTATAACTACTAAAACAAACCTTTCTATTAAACTTACGTGAAGTTTAAGAAGTGAAACTTGATACTTAACACAGATAATAAACGCTATAACAAATATTTATATAATGACTACAAATCTACAAAAAATGTAAGCACACTTAAAATGATCAATACAAAAAAAATTTATTAACTGACACATATATTAAAGCTAATTTAAAAATCCATTAAACTACAAGATAAATTTTATAACTACTAAAATAAACCATTCTGTTAAACTTACGTGAATTGATCAGAAGTGAAAATTGATACTTAACACATAGATACTAAACACTAAAAATATTTATATAATGACTACAAATCTACAAAAAATGTAAGCTCACTTAAAGTGATCAATACAAATAAAACATATTAACTGTAACATATATTAAAGCTAATTTAAAAATCCATTAAATATAAGATGAATTTTATAACTACTAAACCAAACCAATCCATAAACTTACGTGAAGTGTTCAGAAGTGAAACTTGATACCTAACACATAGATACTAAACACTATAACAAATATTTATATAATGACTACAAATCTACAAAAAATGTAAGCGCACTTAAAGTGATCAATACAAATAAAACTTATTAACTGTCACATATATTAAAGCTAATTTAAAAATCCATTAAACTACAAGATGAATTTTATAACTACTAAAACAAACCATTCTATTAAACTTACATGAAGTGATCAAAAGTGAAACTTGATACCTAACACAGATACTAAACACTTTAACAAATATTTATATAATGACTACAAATCTACAAAAAATGTAAGCGCACTTAAAGTGATCAATACAAATAAATCTTATTAACTGTCACATATATTAAATCTAATTTAAAAATCCATTAAACTACAAGATGAATTTTATAAATACTAAAGCAAACCATTCTATTAAACTTAT